GATTGACTCTTCCACCCCTGTCCAATTAACCCCTGTCCCCCAAACAATATACTTGTTTATGCCATTGTTTGTGACCAATATTGCTTCTGATATGCTATGGACTATGCTCCAGGATGAGCCTAAGGCATCCTACTCTCCGTAATAGCAGCCTCTCACCACCCCAATAGCTTAGTCCACAGTGCTGAGATTGACTTCCAGCTGCTGCCTCCAGCATAACCATCTTGCTCTCCAAATATCTGCTTATTTTCACTGCAAAGAATTATGACCTTGACTTAGTGCACTTATGCCTCAGGTCCTGAGTTAGAGCTCTCACCCAGCATCACCAGGATCAAACTGCTGCTGCACGTTGCCACATAGGCCCAAGCCACCATTGCCCCTTGTTATTCCTGGGCTAGCCACTGCAACATTTCCCTTCCCTCTCTGAGCCTGAGTCACTGTGAGCCCCAGAAACCCAAACCCTAGTTCTATGGGAGAGTTGCACATGTTCATATGTCAGGCCTCAGCACCATCACCATAACAAGTGCACTTGATCCCAGGACCCTGTCCCTGTGGTCACCATGACTGCCAGCCCACCAGACCTGGTGCCAAGAGGGATCAACTCAGTTACAGCTTTTCCCCATGGGCAAATTGGAGAGCAGGAGAATGCCAGTAGGCTTTACCACCAAGGACCCCAATAATGTTTGGGCCACTAAAGACTCCTGTGGTCTTTGCCAATGTTGAACTAAAAAGCATTTGCATAACAAATGAAGCCATTAATAAATTGAAAAGGCAACCTATGACATGGGAAAAAATATTTGCAAGCCTTATATTTGATAAGGGGTTAATATAAAAATATATAAAGAATTCATTCAACACAATAAGTAAAACAAATAACCCAATTTTAAAAATGAGCAAAGGATCTGAGACGTCCAAATGGGCAACAGGAAACTTGAATATGTGCTCAACATCACCAATCATCAGCACATTAAAACTATCATGAGCCATTACCTCACACCTGTCAGGATGGCCATTATCAAAAAGGAAAAAGATAGTAAGTGTTCATGAGATGTGGAGAAAAAACAAACCTTGTGCTCCCTTTGTGGCAGTGTAAATTGGTAGAGTCACTAATGGAAAACAGTATGGGATTTCCTCTAAAGATTAAAAATAGAACTACTGAATGATCCAGCAATCCAACTTCTGGCTATAGACATGAAGTAAATGAAATTACTGTCTGAAAAGAATATCTGTACTTCCGAGTTCACTGCAGTGTTATTCACAGTCGCCAAGATATGGAAATGACTTAATAACCTTTGACAGATGAGTACATAAAGAAAATATGATATATAGGTACATATTGATATACATGTACACACACACATGCACATACACATAGTGCTAAAAAACACACAAATGGAACTCCTGACACTTCTTACAATGAGGATGGAGTTTGATAGCATTACGCTAAGTGAAATAAGCCAGAAAGAGAAAGACAAATTTAGTATGGTATCACATTTACATGAAATCTTTTTTTTTAAGATTTTATTTATTTATTTGACAGACAGAGATCACAAATAGAGAGGCAGGCAGAAAGAGAGAAAGGGGGAAGCAGGCTCTTCGCTGAGCAGAGAGCTCGATGAGGGGCTTGATCCCAGGACCCTGAGATCATGACCTGAGCCGAAGGCAGAGGCTTTAACCCACTGAGCCACCCAGGCACCCCTACATGAAACCTTAAAAGCAGAAAAAGCAAGCTTCATTGATACAGAGAGTAGAATGGTGGTTGCCAGGGACTGGCAAGTAGGCAGGGCAACATGGGGAGAGTAGGACATAGGGCACAAGCTTTCAGTTATAAGATGAATAAGTTCTGAGGATCTAATGTACAACATGGTGATTACAGTTGATAATTCAAGTACACTTGAAATTTGAGTAGATATTGAGCATTCTCACCACACATACACCTACACGAGTTAACTATGTGAAATAGAGGGTGTGTTAATTATCTTGTTCTTGGAAATCATTTCATGTGTGTGTATACATATCATCATGTTGTACACTTTAATATATACAATTATATTTATCAATTATTCCACAATAAACTTGGGAAAAATTAATTTCCAGTGAAGAAGTACTAATGAATTATATTGGTTAGCTCAAGCCTCCATAACAAAATAACATAGACTGGGGTTTAAAAAAAAGATGGTTTAAATTAAACAACGGAAATTTATTTTTTCACAGTTCTGGAGGCTAGAAGTCCAAGGTTAGGTGCCAGCATGATCAGGTTCCTTTTTTTTTTTTTTTTTCTATTTTAAGATTTTATTTATTTGTTTGTCAGAGAGAGAGAGAGAGTGAGCGAGCACTGGCAAATGGAGGCAGAGGGAGAAGCAGGCTCCCTGCCGAGCAAGGAGCCTGACGTGGGACTGGATCCCAGGATGCTGGGATCATGACCCAAGCCGAAGGCAGCTGCTTAACCAACTGAGCCACCCAGGCGTCCCGCATAGTCAGGTTCTGGTGGGGGCTCTCTTCCTGGCTTGCAGGTGGCTGCCTTCTCACTGTGTCCTCACGTGGCATGTTTCTTCCTCTCTTACAGGGTTAGGGCCACAACCTAATTTAGCCTTAATTACTTCCTAAAATGCCTCATTAATACTTCCTAATTAATCTCATTTAGCCGTAATTATTTCCTAAACACCCTATTCCATATATAGTCACACTGGGGGTTAGAGCTTCAACATAGGAATTTTGGTGGGACACAGTTTAGTTCACATCATGGACAATAAACATTTGAAAATATATTCAACCTTATGTGATGTCAAAGATACACATATTGAAATAATAATTAGTTTTTTTCAACCATTACAATTTCAAAATCAGGAGAATTTATTTTAATAGTTACTGTTTACAAAGCTGTGGGGAGCAAGAAGTTTTACTTACCATTGTAACAATAAAAGAGTGAATTTTTGTATGGGATCAGGGGAAATATATATAAAATATAATTACATATTAATAATATATATTATATATTGTATATAACATATTATATACTATATATATAATATAAAAATCTGTTTTAGTTTTTCAACTCAGGAATCTTACTAATTAGAACTTATAGAAATGCTTGCAAGATAATAAACACATCTTTGAAGAATATTATTTCTATTATTGATCATAATTATAGTAAATCAAGAAACAATATAAACTATCAGAAGAAACATGGTTTGGTAAATTATGGTTAACTCATAAATTAACACTAGGCAGTTATTAAAATAGATAAGGTAAGTTTTTTAAATATTTTGATAGAGAATAAAGTCTACCAAGTGATGTATAAACAAAAAAGACATGGCATAACATGCCCCTATAAATATGACATACACATATATATTTTTATATTGATACAAAAATATGTAAATGTATTTATATATGTATAAACAGCTAGATGGGAGGCACCAAATTCTTTTTTTTTTTATTTGACAGAGAGAGAGAGAGAGATCACAAGTAGGCAGAGCAGCAGGCAGAGAGAGAGAGAGGGAAGCAGGCTCCCTGCCAAGCAGACAGCCTGATGTGGGGCTCGATCCCAGACCCTGAGATCATGACCCAAGCTGAAGGCAGAGGCCCAACCCACTGAGCCACCCAGGTGCCTCCAAATTCTTTTTTTTTTTTTTTTGTACCAAATTCTTAATAGCGGTTTCTTTTGGAAATTGAATTATTAAGGGTTTGGGTAGAGATGGTGAAGATTTGATTTTCATTTTCTACTGGCAAAATTTTGTATTGTTTTCATTTTTATAAACATAATTTCTTTTTTTTTTTTT